AGGCTAGCCAGGCACAGAGAAGATTGAGATCCTCCTTAGCCATGGAGAGCGCCGAGCACCAGCAGCAGGCCGCCACCCGCTCCCGCTCCCCGTCCCTTCCGGCGGCGCCGCCCTCCCCGCCGCTGTCGCCCAACTCGGCGGCGGCGGCGGCGCTGGCGAACGCGCGCTGGACGCCGACCAAGGAGCAGGTGGGCGTGCTGGAGGGGCTGTACCGGCAGGGGCTGCGCACCCCCACCGCGGAGCAGATCCAGCAGGTGACGGCGCGGCTGCAGAAGCACGGCCCCATCGAGGGCAAGAACGTCTTCTACTGGTTCCAGAACCACAAGGCCCGCCAGCGCCAGCGCCAGAAGCAGCAAGCCTTCGACTACTTCTCCAAGCAGTTCCGCCGCCCCCAGCCGCTGCCCGTGCTCCACAGGCCCGCCGCCCACCCCTCCTTGCCCCCGATCCCGCTGCAGGCTCCGCCGCCACACATGTCGTCGGCGACGCCGCCGGATCTTCCCGCTTCTCCTGCATGCAACAGACAAGGTACGTTACGTACGCGCGTGAACGAACCCTCCATCCATCATCCATGGCTGCGTTTGTTTGGCACGTACGTCTTGACTGATTAACCGCCGGAGGCCTGTGCGTTTCTTCGCTTAATTAGCTTAGCTTTACACTTGAGATCTAGCTGGAAAGGATATGCATCTACGACTTTCCATTTGCAACCCACGACGTCCATGCATGCCTGCGGTGGTCAAAGCTGATCAATGTGGTAGGAGTAGGACACGACGATAACGCATGGATATGCTTCGGTGTTGACCCATCTATGCATGCATGCATGATGCAACACAGTGGCTGGCTGTACTATTCGTCGTCTGTTTTGTGCTGTTCCTTGGTTCGTATCGTATGAAAGCGCACACACGAGACACGACACGGTTTGCTTTACTTGGTTGTTGTTCAGTTTCCGATGCGCATGCAATGCATGCACGCATGGCCCTGTCGTTTCTCCTCTTGACCCTGCGGTCTGTGGAGTGTCAGTGGAGCAGGGGAACCCTCGTAGTCATGGTCACACGATTTAACGTAGTACGTTGCCGGCCTAGCTAGCCTATGTAGCGTCCGCTGCTGCTACCCTTTTGTAGTAGCTCTTTTATCTTCTGCCCGCTGTTCATGCATCAATGCATGCATGCCCCAGGTTCGAAGGAAATTAACTGTCCTAGCTTACTCACAGACCGAAGCGGCACCAGTCCTATAGCTGCCTCTCTAGGACGACCGAAGCGAGCAGTGTGTCTGTTTTAGCATTGCTGATTTGTTCCCTACTACCTAACTAGTGTAAAATGGCCATGAATAGATTTCTGCTGCTTCTGTTCACAGATTTTATTGAGTTTCATGAACACTAATTTTTTTTATTCAAGTAGTAGTGCACTAGTAGTTCTTTGTTCTAACATGGTTTGCATTCGATCCATGTACCATTTTTTGGTGGCAGCGATGCACAGGCAGCAGCCTAGCTACGTGACAGCGGCCGCGGCGGTGGCGGCGACACAGGCCGCGGCGAATGCATCCCACTACATGCAGACGCAGACGCAGACGCCGATGTTGTACCCGGGAGTGGAGGCGGTGGCGCATGACAAGGTCCAGACGCAGGCACCGGCCACCATGTACCACCAAGCACCAGCTCAGAACAACGCCGGCACTCAACAGCCGCGCGCGCTACAGCTCCCTCCGGCCGCCGGCACGCACGGGCCGCCCGCCGCCCGCTCCCGCCGCCCAGAGACCCTGAACCTGTTCCCGCTGCACCCCACCTTCGCGATTCCGCAGAAGACGCGCCCGGCCGGAATCGCTGGCTCCGCGACGCCGACGGCGACGGTGCCGTCCGCCTCGGGGTCGGGGTCGTTCTCTTGGGAGCCTGAGAGCCCCCGCGGCGACGCCTCGCTGCCGCTTTATGACTTCTTCGGCGTAGGCCGCTGAAGATGATGCATGATTACTGATGTGCTCAACCTGTCGCATGCATACCTATGAACCGTAGACCAACAATGTTCACTAAGCCGAACACCGACTCAAGGAGCAAGTATGGCAGACAAACTATTTTTAGTTTTCGTAGATTCGGTTCATCTTCTAGACGAGTGATGCGCCGAGCTTTTACCCTTTTCGAAAAAACAAATCTTCTGAAGTGTAGTGTGTCATGGAGAACAGGACAAGTCCCGAAAGATTTGTAATCTATCACCGATGGTTGGCGCTGTTTTTGTTTTTCGTATACATGCTCTAGTTTTCTGCACCGATATGACTATGGAGTTGATTTTTTGTTAAACGGTCGTTGGAGTTAACGTTGTTGTTAAAAGATGGGTGTGGCTAGGTCTCGGTCGACTGAGATTTAACCAAGTCTCATTCAAATGACAATAACATATTAAAAAGAAACATTAGAAAGAAAATTTTATATGAATCTCAATGTAAGATTTCAGGGATATAGCAACGACTGAGACTTAATTAAGTCTTAGTCGACCGAGATTTAGCAAGACTGTTAAAGGATCGTCTTAGTCCATTCGGCCACAGACTGTATGCATTCACGTGAATACCAGGGGATTGTCGTTTGGCCAAGGTTTTGCTACGGTCGGCGCAGCAGAACATAAAATGTGCGTGCATTGTCATGGCGTAATGGCCTGCTTTGTGCACGCATCCCCTGCAAAATTGGGAATTCAACTTCAACACTCGTTTAGGTCTTTAGGATGTAGGCAATCTCTCGATTAGTGGCGGATCAACCGGCGCTTGGCTCGTTAAGCTCGAGCACGTCAAGCTTAATGATCTAAAATTTGTGACCGCCTTGGTTTGTTAAGGTACCATGAGCGCTCGAGCTCTCCTTACTGGATATACACAGCACAATTACCAGAATTTAGATAAGTTAAATTGTCCCCCTATAAAAACAAGTTAAACTGATGATTGATCAAGATTCAAAACTATGATCGCCCCCCTGCGTCGTCTAACTAGGCAGCACGGGCGTCGTCCGTTATCACGCCTCACTTGTCCAACCTCTCCTACTCCTTCCCTCGCCGATGCCAGATGCCACCACCAAGCGAAGCTTGTGTAGTGGCGATAGTGGCGGGCTCTCTTCCTCGTGGAGTGATCCATCACATGCATGGCCCTGCGGGTGGCGGCTCCACACTTCAGGGGCTGGACAGCTGGTGGCGTGTCCCCTGGTGGCTGACGACGCGTGTTTATCGTGTGAGGAGGCTTGCACAACCCCTGGCGATACATTTTTGGAAGGTTGTGCCCCAACGGCTCCCCTAGCAGCAACCTCTCGCTCCTATGGCGGCGGCTCCGGCTAAGACCACCTCGCTTTCCCTTCCTTGTCGTTGTCACCAGCGACTGGGTGCGGCGCGTACCCTTTCATGAGATCTACTTCCTCCACCCAATGCCTGACCTTCTTCCGCTTCTGTAACCCATGTTGATGATAACCTCTGGCATGTGCATTCCCCTCCTGGTCAGGCTGATAACTTGCGGCGAACCCCTAGGTAGCCAGAAACTGCCGCTTTAGAGGTCAAAGATGGCGACAACGGCAAGTCTCGATGACGTGGGCGCCAATTAAGCCACCGCCCACAAATTCTAGGGAATCAAAAAGAAGATTTTGCATCCCTGGATCTGGGATAGGATGACATATCCACCGATGGAAGTATTGCAGACAAAAAAAGCAGCTTTAGGCACCCCTGCTCCGCATAAACCCATCTCGATGAAAAGCCCTGGTCGACCAGCCTTGGCCACAAAAGGAGGAAAGCATGTGGTTGGCGAGGAGAGAAGGACTAGCTTATGGGCTCCCTCGAGGAAGAATTAGAAGCAGAAAGGTATAAGAAGCGCCGAAACAAAGGAAAGTTGGGACCAACCCCTCACAAAATTGGACTTGTATAGGAAATAAAAGGGGGAAATATGGTATGGAGAAATGTGGTAAAAATTAGGCACCTCCTTGACAAAGGAGGAAAGAGGAAGGCCAAAGCCATACCTAAACGCGTCTTCCATAATTAACCACCATTTTACCAGGACGAGGAGCCAGAGATCATCCCCCCCTTCTCCCCCCAAGAAGGAGCACGAAAGTGCATGTCTCCAGGAAGAAGGTCGCACCTGAAAGGATCGATATAGTTGACTAGAGGGGGGGTGAATAGGCAACTAACAATTTTTAGCTTTTATTCACAAATTAGGTTTAGCAACAAATAGGATGTCTAGATATGCAACTAAGTGAGCAACCTATATGATGCTAACAACAACAACAACAACAACAACAACAACAACAACAACAACAACAACAACAACAACAACAATAACAACAACAACAACAACAACAATAACAACAAGTGCAAGCAAATGATACAACACAACAATAGCTTGCACAAAGTAAAGCAAAGACATAACCACAAGTGGAGCCGATGGAGAAGAGGATGTGTTACCGAAGTTCCTTCCCTCTGGGGGAAGTACGTCTCCGTTGGAGCGATGTGGAAGCACAATGCTCCCCAAGAAGCAACTAGGGCCACCGTATACTCCTCACGCCCTCACACAATACGAGATGTCGTGATTCCTGTTGGGGAACACGGTAATTTCAAAGAATTTCCTACGATCACACAAGATCTATCTAGGTGATGCATATCAACGAGAGGGGAGAGTGTGTCCGCGTACCCTCGTAGACCGAAAGCGGAAGCGTTTCAATAACGTGGTTGATGTAGTCGAACGTCGTCACGATCCGACCGATCCTAGCACCGAAGGTATGGCACCTCCGCGATCTGCACACGTTCAGCTCGGTGACGTCCCACGAACTCTAGATCCAGCTGAGGTCAAGGGAGAGTTTCGTTAGCACGACGGCGTGGTGACGGTGATGATGAAGTTACCGGCGCAGGGCTTTGCCTAAGCACTACGACGATATGACCGAGGTGGAAATCTGTGGAGGGGGCACCGCACACGGCTAAAACAATTGTCAATTTGTGTGTCTTAGGGTGCCCCTGCCCCCGTATATAAAGGAGCAAGGGGGAGGCCGGCCGGCCCTCCTAGGGCGCACCCCAATAGGGGAATCCTACTAGGACTCCAAGTCCTAGTAGGTTTCCACCTAAAGGGAGAGAGGCGGAAGGAAGGAAAGGGAGAGGGGAAAGGAAGGAAAGGGAGAGGGGGAAGGAAAGGGGGGCGTCGCCCCCCCCTTCCTTGTCCTATTCAGACTCAAGGGGAGGGGCGTGAGGCTTGCCCTGGCCGGCTCCTCTCTCTCCACTAGGGCCCATCGAGGCCCATTAGTTCCCCCGGGGGTTCCAGTAACCCTCCGGCACTCCGGTTTTATCCGAAACTTCTTTGGAACACTTCCGGTGTCTGAATATAGTCGTACAATATATCAATCTTTATGTCTCGACCATTTCGAGACTCCTCGTCAAGTCCGTGATCATATCCGGGACTCCGAACAATCTTTGGTACATCATATCACATAAACGCATAACACCAATCGTCACCGAACGTTAAGCGTGCGGACCCTACGGGTTCGAGAACTACGTAGACATGACCGAGACAAGTCTCCGGTCAATAACCAATAGTGGAACCTGGATGCTCATATTGGTTCCTACATATGCTACGAAGATCTTTATCGGTCAAACCGCATAACAACATGCGATGTTCCCTTTGTCATCAGTATGTCTTGCCCGAGATTCGATCGTCGGTATCTCAATACCTAGTTCAATCTCGTTACTGGCAAGTCTCTTTACTCATTCCGTAATACTTCATCTCACAACTAACTCATTAGTCACAATGCTTGCAAGGCTTATAGTGATGAGTATTACCGAGAGGGCCCGGAGATACCTCTCCGAAATACAGAGTGACAAATCCTAATCTTGATCTATGCCAACCCAACAAACACCTTCGGAGGCACCTGTAGAGCACCTTTATAATCACCCATTTACGTTGTGACGTTTGGTAGCACGCAAAGTGTTCTTCCGGTATTTGGGAGTTGCATAATCTCATAGTCTGAGGAACATGTATAAGTCATGAAGAGAGCAGTAGCAAATGAAATTGTAACGATCATAATGCTAAGCTAACGGATGGGTCATATCCATCACATCATTCTCCTAATGATGTGATCCTGTTCATCAAATGACAACACATGTCTATGGTTAGGAAACATAAACATCTTTGATTAACGAGCTAGTCAAGTAGAGGCATACTAGGGACTATATGTTTTGTCTATGTATTCACACATGTACTAAGTTTCCGGTTAATGCAATTCTAGCATGAATAATAAAAATTTATCATGAATTAAGGAAATAAATAATAACTTTATTATTGCCTCTAGGGCATATTTCCTTCAATTCCACTAGTGGTGCCCTTGAAGGCAGCGACCGAACCTTTACAAACAAGGTTGGGGCAATCTCCACAACTTGATTGGAGGCTCCCAACGATACCACCGAGCTTCACCGCAATGGAATGTGGCTCTGAGGTGACCTCAACCGGCTAGGGTGCTCAAACACCCAATAGTAACAAGATCCGCAAGGGATTAGTGGGGGAATACAATTTCTCTTGGTGGAAGTGTAGATCCGGGCCTTCTCAACCAATCCCTAGAGAATCAACAAGTTTGATTGGCTAGGGAGAGAGATCGGGCGAAAATGAGCTTTGGAGAAACAATGGAGTTTGGGGGAAAAGAGGCGAGTCTTCTTGGGGAAGAAGACCCCCTTTTATAGTGGGGGAAGCAATCCAACCGTTATCCCCTCTTCAGCCCGCAGCGGACGGTACTACTGCTCAAGGGAGCAGTACTACCGCGAGCCCCAATGGTACTACCACTGTGACTGCGAGTACCACCTGCAGAGGGAGAAGAGGCAAGAGAAAGAGCGCCCGGGCAGTACTAGCCGTGGTGGTAGGCGCGGTACTACCGCTCGGGAGTGGTACTACCGCTCCTACTGTTGCTGCTAGTGCCACTAAACCCGACACGAGAAACGCAGGTCTCGAGTCGAGGTGGTACCAGC